GTGCTCATTTCCAGAGTATATAGAGCAGAGTGCCAAAATCAACTAGAGGTGAAATGTAGTTTTAAAAAAAATCATGAATCTCCAAGGTTTTTCATATCAGTTTGTTCTTAGTTTTAGAAAGATAGTGTTCCTTATAGAGAAAAACTAATTATCTAAGATGTAATAATCTCCTCAAGTTCACAGAGAGCCTTATTGTTTCATTATATGAAAAAAAAACTAAAATTATTAGTTACCAAAAGAGCATGTGCAATATAGTCCCTTTTATTTAAAAATGTCTGTCTACTCAATCTTCAATTTATAAATAGGGACTGAGAAAAATCTAGAACAATGATCACAAAATTTTATGGCTATTATTTCTCTAGGGATGCATTTTTAGTGTAATTTTTTTTCTTTTACCTTCCTTATACTTTTCTGTACTGCATGTATTTATTTTTATATAATTCACGTTTATCATTTGTACCAAAATAACTATAGCACAATTCATAGTAAAAATAAAACAACTAATTTTTATCCACCAAAACAACTGCACAGTAAAACTATATGCAATAAAAGAAAAATCATTTGAAAATTATATGGGAAGGAAAAATTACATTTAAAATAGTAACAAGAAACAAGAAAGAGCTAGGAATAAATTTAATGAGAAATGTTCAAAACCTGTATGAGGAAAGACACAGAGGTAGACTGAAACAAATGAAATGACACACCACACTCTGGGACAAGAAGACTGAACACCATAAAGATGTCAATTCTCCTTAGATTATTGTAAATTTTATGTACTAATAATATACCAAGAAAAAATAAGCACGTTTACTCTAAAGTTCATGTGCAAAGACTAACAGGGAATAATGGCCAGAAAAGCTCTGAAGAAGAGTAGTAACTGAGAATGGGCCAATCTTCATCATCTCTACTCTGTTTAGCCTAAGAGACCAATCTCTCTAAAGACTAGATTATACTGCTCCTTGTTTTCTGACTCTGACTGAATTTCATCAGTTGAAGGCACTAGCTGGTGATTCCAGGGTAAAGGAGAAAGAGGTCCGGATATTTATTTACCCAGCTCACTCTCTGCTGAACCACAGTTTGATAGTGCCTGTGTTCCTCTGTCTAAGGTTATTGCTCTTATTGGGCAGCTTCTGTCACAGGATACTAATTCTTGTCCCTTCTGGCTAAGGGTGGTAATGGTTTCCTGTTGTTGATAATCCATGGTCAGTATTTTCTGAATCTATTATCTATTCAGAGAGAACTGGTATCTTTATCATAGTGAGTCTTCCAAACCATGAACTTTGTTATTTCCCTGAACATATTAGATCTTTTATTTTTCTCAATGTTTGTAGAATTCTCTGAATAGAGGTAACACACATTTTTCATTAGATTTGCTTTTCATACCTCCAGTAATATTGTAAATTCTTCTTAAGTTTATTTCCTAATATGTTTTGCTGGTATAAAAATGCAATTAAGTTTTATATACTGACCATGTATGCACCAAGCATGATAAACTTATTAAACTATATATAAATTATTTTGGGTTATCTACGTGAATTAATCATGTTTTAGCAAATAACTAGGATTTCTGCTTTCATTTCTAGGTCTTGTATCTTTTTATTCTTCTTTCCTTACTACATATTTGCTATTTCTGACTATGTGCTAGACCTTACTTTGTAAAACTTTAGATATAATTTAAGTCCAGATTATTTTATCATTCTCCAAAGAAAACTCACTTGCTTCTGCTAAGCATCTGAGAAAACCAGCAATCCAGATGTATTAATCCAATTTCAGGATTCTGTCTGAAGATTTTCTGAACCAAAATTATGACTGCACTGTCTTGACTCAATTTCTAACAAAAATTCTCACCTCAATTGTAGAACCATTACCTATTCAGGCAAAAGTTTTGGTTAGGCAATTTAATCGGTTATCCTTTTTTATGCCATAGCTAGGTAAATATATCCATATGCTCTATATAGATTACAGACATGTACATCATTATATATGCATAGAGTTGGACTTCCATATCTGTGGTTTCTGCTTCCACAAATTCAGCCAACAATATCTCAAAAATAATAATTTAAAAAATATAACAACAAAATAATACAAATAAAAAATACAGTATAACAACTATTTACATAGGATTTACATTGTATTTGATATTATTAATAGAAGTAATCTAAAGATTTGAAGTATACAGGAGGATGCACATAAGTTATGTGCAAATATTGCCGTTTTATGTAAGGGGCTTGAGCATCTATAGATTTTGGTATCCATATTGAGGCCTAAAACCAGTCCCCCACAGATACCAAGGAATGACTGTATATACTTATTTATACTGTAACCTAGGCAAAAATCATTTGAGGTAGAGTTCACAAAAATATCCTTTAGCACAATGGGTGACATGGATCAAATATTCAATAAAATATAAATGACTATGAACTTCAAACAAGGGACTCCATACAGAAACAGTAGCTCTATCATTTATCAGTGTGGAAAAGTGTATCCAAATAAGAAAGTGCCTAGCCCACTTTTTCCACAATTATGGCTTTATATGTCTTGATTACAACATAGATTCAATAAACTGGGACTGGTATATCATAACCACCCTCTCCCAATGAAATAATGATGAAAGAAATAAGACATGCAGTATATCCAACAGTAATCCTCATACAAGATAACTCAGGAGACACATGGTAGACATCTCAACTACTAACTTATAATGAGGATTCAAGAAAAAGTACACTGCTCGAAACTACCAACTCTGTGCTATTATTCTTCTCCTCTGTGAATCCTTTTTTTCAAAATTTCAGCTTTTATTTTAGATACAGGGGGTACATGTATGGTACTATTACTTGGCTCTATTGCTTGATGCTGAAGTTTGGGTATGGATCCTGTTACCCAGGTGGTAAATATAGTACCCAACAGGTAGATTTTCCACCCATGCACCTTCACTCCCTTCACCATCTAGTAGTCCACAGTGTCTACTGCTCCTATGTTTATGTCGATGGGTGCTCAGTGTTTAGCTCCCACTTATAAGTGAGAACATGAAGTATTTGGTTTTTTGTTCCTACATTAATTCACATAGGCCATATGCCTCTACGAGTCCTTATAATCAAACTCTTACAATTACACATGGCCCACTAGCTATTATTCTTTTACTATTGTATAAGAAAAAGTGCATGTGAGGATATTCTTGCTTTATTTGTAATAACTTACAGCTCTTGCAATACACTAAATTTAAATATACAAACTCATGCAAAATGTAGAAGAAAACATAGTTGTTATATCCCACGTCCTTAACACTGCACTGTATCCTAGAATGAACACCATATCTGTTCTAATAGCCTAGCACCATCATACTCTAAAATGGAAAGGTCTTTGTTGAAATATTTTATGCAGTTCTAGATGTTATATTTTAAGAAGAAGATTGATAATATGGAAAACAGTCAGAAAGGTAATCTAAAATATGATAACATCTGCGAAACATGTACATGAAGAGTTCATGTAAGAAATAGGAGTAGCTGATCAATTAGTGAAAAAGTTTTGTCACTGAGAACTGTCTAAGACCACTGAGTTATGTTATAGAATAGGGAGTAGATTGTTTCTGAGATTCTCCAGATAATAAAACTATAATAAATGGGTGGGAATTATAAAAAGGCAAATTTCAACTAAGTACATGTAAAACAATGTTCAAAACTTTAAACAATATAAAATGAAAACAGCAGTATTGAAAAGCATGAGAAACTTTTAAACTAAGTTTCAAGGAAAGACTTAATGCTATGTATGCTATCTTACTGGGAAGAGGATATGAATAAATAAAAATTTTTAAATTTCATCCAAATCTAAGGTTCTATTCCTATTTAAAATTACTTTTCTGACTTCACTATTGTTTTAAAAATAATTACAATATGAGCTGATATGTCAACCAGTTTGTCACCTATGAAGTTTATACTTTTCCTCACCCTTATGATGAAAAAGTTTTTAAAATGTGATACAAGGAATCTGTTAATGTTCTAATTCATTTTAATTTTACTGGCTTCAATAATGGTAAACAGTTTCTCATTCAAACTAAATTCACAATGGCACAAATTTACAAAACTGTATTTTACCCAATGGAACCATAAAAACTACCTGATAAACAGCACTAACTTGACTCCCTTACCAATGCCCACTATCATGAAGGAAAATTCCCAGATAAGTTTTACCAAAGAACTCCACCCAATGTGTACCAGAATGGCAGAGATGTATCCATCATTTATATATCACTTAGTTTTAAATTAAAATAAATTATATATTCAAAGTCTATTATATACCTCTAGAAGCATACCTTCGATCCCATGCTCTGGTGCTACCAAAATAAATAAACACATACATACAAATATGCATGCATGTCCATTCATGCATGTGGACAGACAGACAGATATTGATCTATGAACCAAGGAAAAGTTCTGTCTTAATTTATTCTCTCTCATACTATTTTCTGAAAAAGGTAATTATGAAGTAAATTAATAGTTTTAACATCTTTAAAAAACACTTAGAAACACAAGCGTATCGTGCTTACTTTTTCAAGTAATCCAACTTTATGAAAAGTATTATAAAATCAATTATGTTGATATAGAAAGACTGCTTTACAAACTGAAACTATATAGAACATAATAAAATTAGAATTCAAAATTTGTTTCTCAGTTATTATTGTTCACTGTAACAATATGAGTATCATGTAACACATGACTAGAAATGTTAGAAGAAAACAATGAATGAAAGCATTACAATGTCCTTGTTAAAAACTGAAACTAGGGTACGCCTTGACCATGCTCGTCCAATCCTGTATACCCACTCATTCTCCCAGGCAATTTTTCAATTTAGTGTAAATAACTCCAGATTCTCAATGCACAAACATATATAACCATAGAAAACATAGTTATTATTTTACAGTGTTAGTAACAAGTATAAATGCTATCATTCTGAATGACTAATGACATTTCTATAATGTTAAATTAAAAATTGAATATACTTGCCTGACCAGGGTAATATCCATATCCTTCTGGATAAGTTCAGTCTGTTTATTACTCAACTGTAATGATAGAGCATTATATTTACTCTGTGATACTTCAACTTCTTTCCTTGCTTCAATTAAATTGTCTTCAAAGGCCTAAAATTAGAGTGCTTATATCAATAATCAAACATAATAAATACTAAATGTAACAAAACATGTTATATTTAACTATTCTACAAAATGACAGAGAAAAACTAATACTGTTTTAATTTTTTCACTTACTTAAAATAATTTTAACACAAACAATAACTTTTATACCAGTCACGGATTTTTTTTCAGAAACTTAAAAATATCATGGCCTCTTGGTATAAAAGTTAAGAATGTGAAGTAAATAAACTAGAAGATATGTATAAAACATTTAGTTATTAAATTATTGTACAATAAAGTAATACAGTAGATGAACAAAAAAGAACTCATTTATTTTTATATTAATCACAACAAATTATAGACATTTACTTATTTCCCTGTTTTCTCTGTTTGAAGTGCACATACAGAAGAAAGGACAGTACTTCAAAGATATCAAAATAGTTTTCCAAAGTTTGAGACTCAGATCATGTTCAGTTCTCTTGACTGTAGTGCAATGTACCTAAAGTTCTTAAAAGTTGATCTTTTCCTCCTGATCATTCTCTACATCTTTTTTCATTGTGAAAGGATTTTAAAATTAGATGTTTAAAAGATATAATATAAAATTAATTGTAATTACTTTTGCAAAGAACTAAATATATATATATACACACACATCTAAATAAAGTATGCCAACATAAATACCATACATTCATTATTTCCAAACATAAACACCAAGTTTTAGGTAAAGCACTAGAAATTCCTATTTATCTGCAAAAAAAAAGACAATGATAGACAGCAAAGGCAGACAATTAGATGGAGGAAGGAGAGGAAGACAGAGGGGAGGAAAGGGCAGGAGGAAGGGTGGGAAAGCAAGTCTTTTTAAACAGTTACTCTATCTTTGTGCCCAACATATACAGAGATGGCAGATGTTCAACTACTGACAGTTAGGACTAAATGCATTGTTACACTTAGCAGTGGAAAGAATTCAAACTCAGATAATGAAACTGGGGACTACAGAACGGCTCTCATACTCTTAAAAAGCCAAAAGCCAGGTAGGGTGATGCCTCCAGCTTTGTTCTTTTGGCTTAGGATTGTCTTGGCAGTGTGGGCTCTTTTTTGGTTCCATATGAACTTTAAAGTAGTTTTTCCAATTCTGTGAAGAAAGTCACTGGTAGCTTGATGGGGATGGCACTGAATCTATAAATTACCTTGGGGTTATGAACATTTTCATGATATTGATTCTTCCTATCCATGACCATGGAATGTTCACTGGCCATCAGAGAAATGCAAATCAAAACCACAGTGAGATACCATCTCACACCAGTTAGAATGGCGATCACTAAAAAGTCAGGAAACAACAGGTGCTGGAGAGGATGTGGAGAAATAGGAACACTTTTACACTGTTGGTGGGACTGTAAACTAGTTCAATCACTGTGGAAGACAGTGTGGCAATTCCTCAAGGATCTAGAACTGGAAATACCATTTGACCTAGCCATCCCATTACTGGGCATACACGCAAAGAATTATAAATCATGCTGCTATAAAGACACATGTACACGTATGTTTATTGCCGCACTATTCACAATAGCAAAGACTTGGAATCAACCCAAATGTCCACCAATGATGGACTGCATTAAGAAAATGTGGCACATATACACCATGGAATACTATGCAGCCATAAAAAAGGATGAGTTCATGTCCTTTGTAGGGACATGGATGAAGCTGGAAACCATCATTCTTAGCAAACTATCGCAAGGACAGAAAACCAAACACCGCATGTTCTCACTCATAGGTGGGAACTGAACAATGAGAACACTTGGACACAGGGCGGGGAACATCACACACCAGTGCCCCTCATAGGTGGGGAAGTGGGGAGGGATGGCATTAGGAGATATACCTAATGTAAATGACGAGTTAACGGGTACAGCACACCAACATGGCACATGTATACATATGTAACAAACCTGCACGTTGTGCACATGTACCCTAGAGCTTAAAGTACTATTTTAAAAACAAACAAACAAATGAACAAAAGAAAAAAAATTAAAAACTACAAGAAGCCAGAAACAGATTGTAACTATAGTCTGGAGACATAGAAGAAATTTTTTAACATATCACAGATAAGATCTGTGTAAAGCTGCTCATCTCAAGATTCAATCTGATTTCTGCCAAATATCAGGGAGGGACAAGGTGCCTCAGGCTTGAAAGAAGATCTAGCTCCAGACTGAGGTACCCAAAAGTACCAGGAACCTCAAAATGGCTTAAAAGGGATAAACGAACACCAGGGTAGAAATAGAAGATGGTAATTCCCATCAAGACAAACCCTTCAAAATCTAACCCTCAAAAAGAGAGTCAACGAAGTGAACAATCAGAAATAAACACTATTCGGCCAGGCGCAGTGGCTCGTGCCTGTAATCCCAGCACTTCGGGAGGTTGAGGCGGGTGGATCACGAGAGCAAGAGATCGAGACTATCCTAGCCAACATGGTGAAATCCCGTTTCTACTAAAAGTGCAAAAATTAGTTGGGCATGGTGGCATGCACCTGTAGTCCCAGCTACTCGGGAGGCTAAGGCAGGAGAATCACTTGAATCTGGGAGGTGGAGGTTGCAGTGAGCTGAGACTGCACCAAAGGAAAGAAAGGAAAGAAGGAAGGGAGGAAGGAAGGGAAGGAGGGAAAGAAAGGAGAGGAGAGGAGAGGAGAGGAGAGGAAAGGAGAGGAAAGGAAAGGAAAGGAAAGGGCAAGGCAACGGCAAGGCAACGGCAAGGCAGGGCAAGGCAAGGCAAGGCAAGGCAGCGACACTATCCTAGCGAAATGCAAATATGGGAACCAATTTAAAAGAACTATAAATACACAGAATATACTAAAATAGACAAACATTATGAAGCAAAAATGGAACAATCAGGCAGTTAAAGTGAAAAAACTACTATTTGACGTGAAGAGTAGACACAGAGAAACCAAATCAAAAATTATTGAAATAATCCAGCCAAAGCTGATGGTGTCTTGACAAGTAATAACAGAGGTGGTGAAGAGTCCAATTTAAAATATATTCTGAAGGTAGAAATGACAGGACCTGTTGATAAGTATCTGTGGAGTTGCAAGATAAAGATAGGAATTAAAGATCTCTCATAGGGATATGTCCTGGGAGCAAAGAGGTAAATGGTGGGTCCATTCATCATGATAAAGCAGACTACAAGAAAGATAGGCTGAAAACAATAATCCAAATGTCAGCTTCCAGTGGACATAATACATACATTTTAATTATTATAAAATATGAGAGCAAGTTTCCCAGTAAGTATAAAAACCTAGAACAATTTTTCATGAAAAACCTAAATTACCAGAATGGAATCAAGAATAAATAATAGAACTTCATTTGTAATACTAAGCAAAGGAAGAAGGAAAACGAAGTAGGAAAATGCACCCCTCAGTGCAGGTGGTCCTAAAGCTAGCCCTCACACAGAATTCCAGCCTGGGTTTCCATTTTTGGAAGGTCAGTGAACCCCAAATCTGGAGCATGACTTATGGTGGGCCCCCACAAGTCATGCTCCCAAGGTAAAAAACAAAAATAGAATTCCTCTCTGACGGAAATCCCCTTGATATTAATACAAAATTAAGGTAAAACTTTTCATTGTTTCCCACTAAATATTGTTCAGTTTTAAGCCATGTGACTATACTACACATTCTAAATTTAAAAATTCAAAAAAAGAAAAAATAGAAAATTTCAAAAGGATAATTCAAAATGTTACAAATATCAACACATTTAATCAATTATATAAAGCTGACTCACAAAAACACCTTATCTGGTCCTAAAGGTTTAAAGGAAAGGCCTACAAACATTTCAATAAATGAATAACCCCCATCTTGTGGGAAACGTTACAAAGAATTTAAAAAGGATGTTCTCAACTCATTTTATGAAAATTGCATGACCTGTTATCCAAGTCAGAAAGGGAAGGACATAAAAAGTAACATTTCAGAGCGATATCACTTAGGCATATAAATGCAAAAATCCAAAATAAACTATACTAGTATTAAAGAAAGATTTGGGTAATTTATTGGGATTATTTGGTTCCAGAAATACAAGGATGGCTTAACATTAGAAAATCTATTAATACAATTTACCACATTAAGAGATTAAAGAAAAAAAAATATGAACATGCCAATAGAGTCAGAAAAATCACCCAAAACAATCCAACACCTTACGATTTAAAAACAAAAACAAAAAACTAACAAAAATATAGGAATACGGAAGAATTTTCTTACTTTGGTATGAATGCCAAAAATCAGCAAATACGATAATTAATTGTGAAATGTTCATTCAAAAATCAAGAACAAATTTGTTTTATATTAAAATTGTCCTGGGGATTTTAGATAATATACTAAGAGAAGGAAAAAAAGAAAAGACATTAAATATATAAATATTAAGAGAAAGAGTAAACCATTCTTATTAGTAGCCAATATGATCTTCCACCAAAAAAACAAAAACAAAGTGCAAACATTTAGAGCTAGAGTTGAGCAAGATTATAAAAGACAACTGTGCAAAGCTCAGATGATTTTCTATAGGACTAAACATTTATAATATCAACAAGAAACATAAAATAACCAGAAATAAATCTTACAACCAACGTACAATATAATTATATGAAGTCAGAAACCAAAAACACTTGTATGACTCACTTTATTACAGTATTCCCTTTATTGTGGTGGTCTGGAACCAAAATAAATAATGAAACAGAGGAGTAGAACAACACTATAGAACAACTGGAACTAAAAGAATAATACAGAATATTCCACTCAACAACAACAGAATATACATTCATCTTCATGGCTCATGAAACATTCTCCATGACAGACCATAAAACAAGGCTCAACAAATTTTAAAATACTAAAAATATATAAAGTATTTTTTCTGATCACAGTGTAATAAAACCAGAAATCAATTACAGAAGGAAAACTGGAAAATTTTCATCTACGTGGAAACTATGCAAAACATTCTTAAACAACAGACAAAAGAAGAGATCATGAAAGAAAGAAA